CCTTTCAGCAGGTCAACAATTCCCTTTAACGACCCCTTTCAGAGACATAGACAGGTATGGGCATAGATGTGAAAAGATAGTTTCTTCGAATTTGAATTGGGGTCCTGCTGATTGGTTGGTTAGAATTGGTTCTCACCTGGAAGTCGTCAATAGAAGGCGCTGAACGCTGTGTGGTGCGGCGGCGGTGCCACTGGTGCAGCGTGTCTCTGGTCTCAGAGCTCAGCACCCGGGCCGCCTGGTCCTCTTGGAGGTTCTTGATGAGGGACATGGCTCCGTAGGCACTGGTCAGATAGTAGCCTCCTGGACACAGAGACAACAGGTTAGAGCTGGAGAGGAGAAACAGGAGGAGCTGCTTCGTAAACCAGAGGGGATGTTGGACGGGTACCTTCTCCGTGGAGCAGCAAAGGGTCCAGCAGCTCCATCATATACAGGATCTCATTGTCCAGCTCAGGCATGTCACACTGAGCCAACACGTAGGTCAGCATGGGGAGGAAGTCATCAGCGCCATACAAGCGACCTGACACAAAGACACAGCCTTGCCTCAGCGTCTCCAACACATCATGTAGAGCATTTCTACCACAGAAACTGATGATGTCAGAGGTCTGTACCCGAGTTGTCCTCCATGATGGTGTAAATGAGCTTGCAGACTCGGAGCAGCGTGCAGACCTTCTTCTCTGGGGAGTACAGCTTACACATGACCTGGAACTTCTGCCTGATCTTCTCAACGGCTACGGGGTCGGGGGGAAGGGCGTCGGTCACGCCCATTTCCTGCGGCCGCCGGGCTTTGGCCAAAGACAGGTTGTCTTTCAGCTCCTGCCAGCTGCCGCTGCTCACCTGGAAGTCTTTTAGCGCGGCACTGAGGGTTGGCTTTAGGGGCTTCAGGACGCACTTTATCAGGGCCTTCTCCAGGACGCGGTCTGAGAAGGAGACACAGTTAGTCCCACAGCGCCAACAGAACTCTAACAGATAGATTAAAACAGAACAGACTTGCTTTGAACCCAGAAATGTGGTCCTGAATGGTTCTGAAGGTAGCCGAGAGAGCCGAGGTTACAGGGAACAACATGTAAAATTGACTGATTGGACTGTCTGAGCCATTAAACCAGAATAATAACTCACATGAGCAGATATTATAAACAGAGCAGCTCTAGAAGGACTAGATCTAATCTACTTTCCTCCAACTCCAGAACTACAGGCATGTTATGTTTGTGGAGACGGTCATGACTGAAACAATCTGTGAAATCATGCTGCAAATTATTCCTCTTATTCCTGGGATTCAGGATTTATTTTGAAACAAAATGGGGAAAATTAGGAAAAAGATTTTCATATTTTTGTTTTTTTTAACAGGAAAGGTGAAACTGAACGCAAGAGATCGATAAAAATGTGAAATGAAACATTATTATGATGGATGTTGTTAATTATCTAAAAAGTTACTCAATCGAAATATTAGACTTGTACAAAGTTGAAATAAAAACAATGTTTTATATTAATGTTAAACAAATATGCAAATGGTGACAATATGAATCAGTTCATTTTAATCAGTTTATTATATTTGCAGCTCGGTGTTTACTAAAGAAATGAGCTGATTGGCTGTTTGTATTCCTGTCATTTTCTATTCTAGATGATGTTCACTCCAGGTCAGATACAGTTTTCATGATGTAGGTCAAGTCGTAAATAAGATGGAGTTGGTCAATAACCAGACGGCGCTTGAATCTGTATTCTGTAGAAGTTCAAGGATCATTTTAAAGTATTTTCTGAGTCGTTCATTTTATTTTTAGATGTAACAGAATTTTGGCTGCTGGATTTCATAATTTGCCTGCCAATATGTCTGGTGGCGGAAAAACGTCATGCCTGATCATAAACTACATTTGTCAGCATCACCTTCACCTGCTGCTCATGACCTATGACCCTTTACCGGAATGAAATTCAACTTTGATACTATGTTGTACTTTTTAAAATTTGCAGTCATACACTTTTCTGTAAAGATTATGATGGTGCAACATAATACCTATCATGTCTTGAAGACATAAAAACCTGGACGACTCTTAACTTTCTCCTTCTGAATGCAGACA